TCTGCATTCATATTCATCCCACCACGAAGATCCTTCACGTCGATTGAATAGGTGGAAGATGAAGCATTCTCATAGTTCGGGCTATGGGAAACTGTCTCTATACTCATGGACCACGGAACAGCCAATTATATACCAGCATATGCAAATTTTCTACCACCGTTCTTGAAACAAGAGCTCAAATAGTTCTATGAAAGTATTACAGAAAACTAGGACTTCAACAATACACTCGAGGAAGGAAATTGACCATTATTTGAAAATTGCAAGGTGTGTTGTTGTTTGTTATTTGTCAAATGCGATTAGGCAAAAATGATCGTGGTCATGAATTTGTCAAAGACTCTTGAACCTCATTCAGACGACTCGAAGCAGGGAGGATTGAACGGACTATGCAGGTGACGGGAGAAATCAAAAAGTTTGACAACGAGCAGTACTAGGCGCGAACCGAGTGGGCACGATCAGGAGCCGGTCAAAACCAGGCTGCGCGCAAAATCAAAGCACGGCTTGTGATAGAAAACCAGGCTGCGCGCCCAGGCAATGGGGCTATTTAACCTCATGATTTGTGTATTACAGTGAGGCTTTTTAATACACTCTCACATGTGTTAACTTTCCTGTCGTGTACATAGCACTCCGAAAGTTGAATCATGTTATAACTCGTGTTTGTGTATACTGTCTAACTAGCAAGAATTGTGCCTTGCGTTTATCTATTTGTCTGGCTATGGTTTCTTGCATGTTTCGGATTTACACATCCATATAGTTTATTAAATTTCAAATATGTTTAGAAGAAACTTCCATCATCAAATTCATCCAAAAATGTTCCAAATACGGTAATGATCTAAGAAATTATTGTTTGAAGGCCAAAATGAGAACTTTCAAGTAGAAAATGCAATAATCCTCTATTATCAACTTCATTAATCTGTTCAAATCGTTGCAATAAATGTCATCTTGAAACTAAATGAATTATCATCTTTGTAATTTTAACGTTGTAAATCTTTGTAAAAAGTTACATTGATGTAACTTGTGACGGCAGGTATCATGTTCACGTTGCAATCATTGAGAACAGCCACACACAAAAAAAAAAAAAAAAAAGCAAAATGGTTCAATTAAAGCAAACTCGGAAGCTAATGTTTTATCTCATCCAAAAAGTTGTGGAAGTGAAGCGCAAGAGTACAAGAAAGTAGTTATTCTCCGTGAACAAAAAAAGATAGATCTCAAATACCATGTTGAAGTCGCAATCAATGAGGATGGAAAAAAGAAAGAGAAAGAGAAGGATGTGAAATGATTCTCATTCAGCAAGTTAGAAAGTTCATCGTGAACGGAATGTCATGTAATAGATACTGGAAGTTGTTGCAAAGATGAGCATAAAGTAGTTACTCCTAGTGAAGTGAAGAAGGCTACCGGCAAGAGTTCTCTTGACGCTGCTGTCATTGAGAATGGCTAGAACAAAGAAGTAAAGGTAGTGAGATGGTTCGGATCAAAAAAATAGAAGAGCTAATGGTGATCAGAGTCTCATGTTATAGCTTGTGGATATTGTTGCAAAAGATGAGGGGAAGAAAATGATGACGAGTATCATGTTGACGCCGCATTAAGTGAAGATGGCAAGAAGAAAGAAGAAGAGGAGTAAGGAAGATAGTTCTAGTCGAGAAAAAATGAAAGCTGATGATGTGAAGTATCTCATGCAAGAACTTGTGGATATTGTTGCAAAAGATGAGGAGAAAAAGTTGACGGCGAGTATCATGTTGACGCCGCTGTTATTGAGTATGGCAAAAAGAAAGAAGATGAGGAGAAACACAACGAGATGACATTGAAGTGATATAGAAGCACAACGCTCTTGTCGCTTTTGAAATCATGCAAATGATCCAAAAAAAATCCAGTGAAGAAATTGTATTTACTAAATTGAGCACCTACAAGGAGAAGAGTAAAAAGGATGGAGACCTAGAGAAGGAATAAAAATAAAAAAAACCTAAAAGCATCAATGATTTTTTTAATTACGCTGAGCTATTTAGATATGGAAATAGTATAATTTGTGATTGCGGACATGATGGTGGATGCGATGTGAATGAAGACGGCGTTGCTTTCGGTGGTGCCGATGGAGATTCAACTATGGCGACGAGTCTTGAATCCTCGTATTGAGCAAACTAGATTCTCACTCTATGTGGCAAGTAAATCTTTGTAAAAAAGTACATTGATGTAACTTGTGTCGCGCATGGAGTAGCAAAGCAGCTAGATTTTAAGAACAAAGAGTTTTGACAAAATACGAAAGCTAAGGTTTGCTTGGAAGAAAGTGAACTTGCTTCCAAACTTACTTTGTGCAACACTCGTGAGATTGAAGGATTTTTTGGACCAACTGAATAGAGGAGAATAGATTGATGATCGAGAAAGTACAAAATTTGAAAACATTAAAATATCACTCATAATCAACTTAGAGATGTAAAATTTGAACGATCACATTGATTGATGAAATTTTCTTGGAAGTCTTTTGAATACTTGAGTTCTTAATGTAACAACTCCAAGTTAAATTTTCAAATATGGATCAAGCTCTCCAAGTTATATTGCTTGATCCTTGTTTAAAAGTTGATTGAAACTTTGAGCAAGATTCAAGATCAAACACATTTGATTTGTGGACAAGTGAGACAATCGAGTAAATTTATTGACCTCCATATTATCTCCCATACTAGTGCTTTTAGTATAGATTGATCTCCTAACAAATTTTGGACATCATTGAAACAAATGATATTCTTGTTATTTGAAGAAATAATTTTAAACTGATATATCGATAAAGATGGAAATGTAGTCGCAAATGCATCGATGCAACTTTGAATTACGTGTTGAAGTACTAGAGGATTGCAAGAGATGGAGGCAAGTGATGTGTTTGCAAGTGTTGGCATTTTTTTTGTTAACAACCTGTACCATTTACTTTCAATAAAGAGATAAAGACATGAATGGCTTGACAAAGTTGAACCAATAAATATGACTCTTAATCTGGTGTAATCTCTATAATTGCAATATATCGTTCAACCTCAAACCTGACGAAATACACATGTCAAAGCAATTTGCAGATTTCTGCTAACCTAAAACTCGTCCTTTATTCTCTATGTCACATCCAATGACTTTGTAACTGCAAATGCATTTAGTATGCAAGTGTAAATATATTCATTTCATTTCATGGCATTCTTCATAGAAACTGTGAGTCATACTTGATTAATGTTTGAAATAAAAACATCAAATGAAGACCAATGTAACAAAATGAAAAGTTGAGAGAATCCGCTATGACTGCAAGGAGAAGGAGGGAACAACCAGCGAACGAGGTAGGTATATTAGTGAGAACCAGATGGTTCCCATGGGAAACAATGCAAACACATAACCTTTGGATGTTGAAAATGATACAGAGATATGATCAAAATGGTTAAAAGAATCAAAATTTCAATAAGCACCTGACATACTATGACCTCTCTTCTGCTTGAGATTCACTCGTAAAGAACAAGATCCAGAGTTTCAACTGGAGGTTATAGAGCTTTGCTTCTTTCAAGCCTGAGTTTTTGCTGTTTGATTCGCGGGAAAGCTAAGAGAAGGTATGGAAATCCTTCTGTTGGTGAGAACAGTGCAGTGTAAAGGGATTGGAGATGGAGTGAAGTAGTGAGCAGAGAGCAATTCACGACGGTAACGAGGTTAGTCCGAGTGGAAAAATATCTCAACAGGTTGGGCAATCTCTATGCTGGTGGTGACGTAATATAGCTCATTGATAAATACTGAATACATTCGCAACACGTACGAATTAAAAACAAACACATCCCATGACTATAAGAAAATTATTCGATTGTAACGTACACAGACGACATTCTAGTGTGAAATGGAAGTGAAGAATAATCTTCGTTTCCGGATTGTTAGTTCTTGAAGAGTGTCTGGTTTCAAGGTTCCACTTCTCTGTTTATGAGACGATAAGACATCCTCGTGTTTTCTTATATATACAAGGCCTGATTCGTCAAAGAACTACCCTCCATTCTTCACGCTGAACTGGCCGGCAGCATATAAGGTCCGTTGTATGCTCAGGAAATGTGTCCGGTTGCTGTAAAGGCTCGAAGCTTGGTGATGGTTTCACCTCTGCACATGTAAGATCTGGTTTTTAAAAGTGATCGCAGTTTCGGAGACAGCTATAGCAATGAGCTTTAAGCAGCTGTCATGAAAATAGCGCTATAACCACACCCAAGCCTCCCTACGAGTCAAGTCTGCTCTCAATCTTCAAGGCACTTCCAATTCATACACTAAAATCTTTCGGATGTGATCAGGCTATCCGGGACTGCGGTTGCCATTATTCTAAAATCTTTGGGACTCTGATCTGTATCAGGCGTAACTTCAGGGATTGAACTTGGCTATGATACAAACCTCTCGAAGTATTTACTCAGTTGACGCAGCGGTCGTTCAAGATTTTTTATCATTCTTTGAACATGACTGGTATTGTAGTCAAGGTAATAAGTTTCCTTTCGTCGCTTCCTGCGATGTAAGCTGACGCTCTTGTCATGTCGCGGGTTTTGTGTTTTATTCACTCATTCGCATGGAATATTATCATTCCGAATTTCACTATGTTATACACCTTTCCACCGATGATTTTCTTCTAGCCTTTCTTCTTGAATTCTACTCAATCAGTTTTACCTTTTAAGACCTTTTTCCCAAAAGAGTGTAGTTTCTTGTCTTCAGTAAAACTTGTATTACAAAATTTAGGAATTACAACAGTAACTTCCAAAACCTTCTTTAAAGATCTATGATACCTTCTCTAAGGATCTGTTTGACCTGGTCACAACACATGACTGTGTGTCCACTTCAAGTTTATTTGCACCCAGTAACTTCAATTGCACACATTACATCAACAACAGCTGCCGACAGCACCACACGATATGCCACGAGCCACGTATTCTAGTCTGGTGCGCAGTCTAGTGCAATGAGTACATGAGATCACTTGCATTCTTATTCACTGCGTCGTGGTAGAAGACGACCTATGCTTCACGAGTGCCAGAAAAACATTACCGCAACGGTATAACTTCTCAAGTAAAAGAAATCAATTTGCGCAACAATGTATGTACAGGAGACGTAAATGCGACACAACCGCATGTCTGGTTCTTCCTATGAGGCTTCAGTCAACCACTCGTGCGCCGAGTACTATACACAAATATACACCCAAAGGGAGAAGTGGATCCTGAAAGGGGATTAAGGAAGGCCTTGCAGGCGTGAAGAAGGCCTTCAGAACCTTGATCCTGTGGAGAAATCAACGAATTTTATTCTGCCCAGTATCCTATTGTTTGAACTAGATGAATCGGTGGATGAACATGAGAAGCCCAAAATCGTGTCTACACACACCCTCCACTGAAGTATAGAATGTGCCGTGGAGGTCCAGGGCTGTCTGCATGAGTGCTGCACTCATGAAACTCAACAGTTGGCGGAGATCCCTGTATCCATTTCGCAGAGATGTATCAGTCATCAAGATGCTTCGTGTAATTGCTGTGCAATGATAGTATTGTACCCAGTCTCTTGATGTTGTCGACAAACATGCTGGTATCGACGATAGAGTAGACTTCAAACTACTATCATCGGCCACTCTGGCCGCTTCATGATTGATGCCAATAAACACTTCCGCGAAGCTGAAAGCGGCCATGTCACTTTTCCCTCGCAACTGGAGACTTGACGCCGCTCCTGTGATTCGGCAACCGGCAATCATGGTGGGATTATTCTCGACACCGATGCTTGGAAAAAATTTCTTCTCCTGAAAAATTGTCGAATAACCCTGTTGTAGAGGAACTGTTCTATGTGTCTTAATCTGAAGGAGTAGTTTGACCCGATGCTAGCAGCGTAGATGTATCCAGCTGTTTCTTTGGCTCAAGCCATTTGCGGCTCAGGCTTCATTACCGTGTGGCTCCGAGTGAAAGCCATTTCGAGCTTCAACCTCATTCCAGATTCCCTGCCTTCATCCTCGACGTCTGTGTCGTCCTCATCGTCATCTCTGCCGCCGCTTCCTACTTCTCTGTCGCTCTCTTTCTCAGATCTCCCTCTGGAATCATCTTCTCCTTTCCAGCTTGAACTTTCTGATTTGCCATCTTCTCCAGGACTATCTTCTCTGTACATTTCCGCGCTCGTCTGGCGAGCTCCGCTCGATAGTTGACTGGTAGACTGAAGAGGTCCCTGAGGGGAACTGTGAGATTGCGATCTATGCAACTGGATCTGGGCGGAGGGATTCAGTTGAGAATAAATTTCTTGAGAAAGAGATGCCTGGCAGAAGTGACCTTGTTGAGATACGGAACTTGAAGGGTCGTGATACATTCCACCGCTGGTGTATTCCGGGGGTACCCATATACCACCTAGAACTACCAATTGTGGTGCTTGCTGCTGCGGAGCTTGTGGAGCAGGACTAGGTCTACGCGTGTGCAAGCGATATTTCTGCGGGAACAACACACGTATCTAAGTAATTTAGTCACTGATGAGTCCAGACCAGGGATCCAGATAGTCGAGCAAATTTGGAGGTGCTAATGAAAGATCAAGAAGCTCATGTGAAAGATGCTCAATCGAATCTGTACAAAATTAGCTGACTATAATAAGTATGGCTTGGATAAGAAAAATATGACACTGTGGGTGAAGTGTAGAAAGAGGTCTATGCGGTGACTCAATTTCTATGCTCCAGTCCTCTACATTGTTACGGATATGTCGATCAAGAAGGCTACAGCATAATGACTACGCATAGATCAACAAACAGCCGAAAGAAAGAAAGAAAAGCTGATCAAATGTAAGTCACCGCTAGGCAGTCAGACTGAAGCATATAAGGAGAGAGGAGTGCTAACAGGAACACAGAATCCGAAATTGCACTTCAATTGAATCAAAATTGCTACTACCGGAGCAAGTTAAAGACGCAAATCTTGGTTTCGAGCACAATCCGCAGCAGCACAATGTTCAATAGCAAGCTTGTGTGAGACATCGGTACTGAAAGAGCAAAGCTATGCTACAGGAAAAGTCAATCTACCTGTAGGTGACTCTTCACTTCGTCGTTTGTAAGTCCGTCGACTTTCATGAGCTCACGTATTTGCTTAGGTGTGGCGACTGTCACAAGAAACGAGAAGTTTGAGACTCTCCTCTCTAACGGGCAACTGATATGAAATCTGATAAGATGAGGCACAGATCTTTCAATTAGGCGGTGGGCGCATATAACAAACAGCGATTGTTGCTTACTCTGAGAACCGCCAAGCTGTTGAAGCGCGCTGACAAACCGTCGATGAAGTTCCGGAGACCAGCAGCGTCGTGCTTTCCTCTGCGCCTGACCACTACCCCCACCACCACCACCTGAGCTTGTGCTTCCCGTGCCTCCAGAATGGTTTCCGCCACTGCCACTGCCATTCAATTTCCTACCATTATCTTTTGCTTGGACAACTTCCATCCCCACGTCTCTGGTTCTCGTTGTGCTGACATCGAGACTGCCGGCCTCTGATTCAACAGGGCCAAGAGCGATACGGGACGCAGGCCTGCTTTCCACCGAAGAAAGGGCCAAGTCGGCTCCTGATAGCACCTTGACCCGTGACGCTACGGTAGCTACGGGCTTCTCTTTGATGAATGGCAAAAATGCGCCGCCCGTTCTTTTGTGAGTGTTGAAGAGGTTGGCAGGACTAGTCACGGTGCTCTGCTCCGTGGTGTCTCTCTGCCGTCTCGTCGAATCCTCGGTGGAAGACTCCTTCTGCAACAGCGAGTAAATAGTTATCAGCAACCACTATTTGACAGTAACAAGAGAAACGACATTCTTTCGGCAAGACCTTCACGATCGTCTTCCTAGAGCTCGCGACTGTGTTTTGTTTCAATCATCAGACAAGATTATCCCCATCCCGCCAATCACATGGAACAGTATTTCTCTCTTATATTCACCGTGACACAAAGAACTTAGAGATATCACAAACTACACTCGAGCTACCGCTCACCTCTTTCCAAGCATCTGATCTTGTGGACGGTTGACTCCATAGTTGAGCTTCAGCCATCCACGATGGTCGGTGATCTGCATCTCTGCCTTCATCTGATCTCTTGGATACTTTCTCCACCTCCTCTATCTCTCTTTTGGGAGCTTCCCACGACTTCTTTAGAAATTCTTCCACAACATGCTTCCCGAATGAGCCTAGCGTACTGGTCTCCACTTCGCCATAGGAGTCCACTGCATGCCCTCCTCCGGAAGAGGAGCGAGGAGAATCGACGAGACGATCTTTTGAAACCTCGATAGCTGTATCAAGCAAAGAACACATCGATAATCAGTTCACTGCTGACTTTCTGCGTGCCCACATGTGACAGAAGGCTGAGAAGACTCGCAAGCCTGCATCAGATGTACCAGTTAACATGTATATGGATGTCGACATTCGTTCTCTGGTCATACGGTGACAACAGTGAGCGACAGGTCGACCTAAGTTTAGTCTCTTTGACAGACTTCAAGCATTTTCGGTTTTTAATCGCAAAATCGCGCAACTCCGCAGAAAGTGAGTGATTTCAAGAATTCATTCTGCGCTTGGTGTCGATGGACAGGAACGTCGGAGAACTTGTGAGCAAGGTGGAGCGTGAAAATTGGATTCCAGTTTCTGTCGAAACTGCCTATACGACACGATTACTGTTTCAGGCAGGACCAAACAGAGACAAAATAAGGAGAAATGTAGGCAACTGTAGGCACCGCTCGAAATAAATGCAGGTTATCAGCGTCATAACTGACCATAATCAAGAAGTTGCATGCAGTGTGGAAGCTCCCGCTTGAATGCCTCAATCTTGTGTCTTTCGTCCTCCAACGCTTTGAGGTATTCATCCAGCTTGCGAACTCTCTCAATCTGGTCTCCACTCGTAGAAACGGCTTTGAACTCGTTTCCTGAGGACTGAGGTCTACATCCTAAGGTAAGATCCGCCGGTGACCCCATGACTTCATGCAAGCTCGGGCCAACCTGCATATATGCACAAATTATTCGTCTGGTAAGCAACTGTAGGTGATCGACGACCGTGGGCATGGCATGGTTTGCTGTAAGTCAAGTGCGAGCAGTGGACGTACAGAAGTATCGAGGCTCTCTTGGACAATCTCATGTACAAAACTGAGGGACCGGACAGCTAGACACTCACCAGCGATATTCATTCCGCTATAATTTCCTAGGCCACGGAGTATTGCTCCTACAATGTCCGATCTAGACAACTGACAGATAAGAGCCCTCACCTGGAAGAAAGCTGGTGCGGTCTCGACGATGCAGTTTCTAAACTTTTCACACCACCATCGCTCAAATGGTGCTCGTCTTGAAAGATCCAGGCGATGATCCCCAAGACGCTTCTTCAGTAGATGACTAATCTATTGCATTACCATGACTCGGTGAACTCGTGCCCTGCCTGTTCCCACGTATGAGCCGGCCTCCACTCAGGTTCTTCCACCGCGAACGAACGAGTGCAATTGCCGAGCTAGAACTACACGCTCCCTGTCCAGTGAGGAGTGAGAGCGCAGTGGATATTGTCAGGCCTCTACAGCACAAGGGAAGAACTTCACGTCGCAGCGTATCTTGTCCGCGCAACTTCTTTCAGTCGCCACAGCACAATCTAACTCAAACTCGACGGCAGCAGGAGCATGAAAGGGGACACGCCGGTTTTAAATTAAGAAAAAGACTGCGACGCGGCCGTTCCTGGCTTGCGAGTGGTGCTGGCTGGCTCAGCAGGGATGTAATTGTACCGCACACAGTACACACAGATTCTCGGCAACCAGTCGCCGCGACCACGAGAAAGGAGAGAAGACTGGGACCCTCGCGATGTCCCTCCTCTGAGCTCTTCACCCGAATTCGCTTACACGTGAACTTTGGCAGTAATCGACCGGAGCGATAATTATTCGACCAGATGAGGGGAGCGACTGAGGCCGAAAACCGGAGCCGATCGTGGGAGCGATGGCAACTTAGCTCTCTGGGATGACGTAGGCGCACAGAGGAATGAAGGAATGCGCAGACTGTAACCGCGGATGGCCGATTGGCTTTGACTGTTGGCGGTCGCCAAGATCATGGATCAGTGCGACGCAGCTACTGAATTGAAGAGGACGCAATCGAGGACCTCAATGTTGAGGAACAAAGGGGAGTGGATCCCTTGATCCTTCATCTGAGGATGCCCACACTGTGTTCAGAAGATGTCGGCAATCCCCCTCCTCAGACTGCGTGGACGGAGCTCTGAGAATGACGCTCCTCGGACTCAGGCGGGGAGTGCGCACAAAACATTGGATGGATGCTGCGCAGGAATGCATCGGATACGAACACGGCCAACCGACTCGGCTCGGCTCGCTCGATGTGACAGTCAATGGAGGAGAGAAACCTCGGTAATCAGGGAAGCAGGCAGGAGGCGCAAATCGATGGCGATGCCGAGAGTTAAGACTCGTTCTCGCGCTGCGGCGAGCTGGGCCGAGCGACGGGACAAGAGATTCTTATCCCAGGTGAAAAAGTAAAGGCTTGATCTGAAGAAAGAGAGTGAATCTCCGCCTGAATATACTGTGCCCAGTAAAAAACCAAAGGCCAAAGAATCGGTCTGTAGCACCTTTCGCCGCATCGAGCGCACCCGAGCGCGACAACTGTGGTGCTGGCACGCAGGCAGGCAGGGCAGGCAGGCAGGCAGGCAGAGGAACATGGATGCGAGGAGACTCTGAGGAGAATTTAGTATATTCTGAGCAGCAGATAAGGATAAGAAGTCGAATATTTGCTCGCTCTTCCGTCCACTTTTGCCAACCTCCCTCGCCCCGCAGGACAACGGATCCCAACGTCGTACACCCCCGGCCCCCCCCGCACCGACCCGCGCTTCCCCGCGCGGGTGCGGGCGCGGGCCTGTTCCGAATGATTTTAAAACATGGAGGGAAAGGCGACCCCGGTGGTTTCCACCGGCGCACTGGCTCGGCTCGCCCGGAGATTCGCCCGCATCGCGTCAAAATCATTGACGGTGTGCGCGAGGGATAGTACAGGCTCCAGGACACCCAAAAACAAAACCCGCAAAATAATCGGAATCTGCAGTCCCCATCACAAAGCGGAGCCGGATCCTCGACTTCTCTCCACTCCTCTCCTCTCATTCCATCCTTGTCGGTCCTCTCCGCGCGTCGAATATTCCCCGCGGTTGGCTGGGTCCGCGCGCGGTGGGCCCGGCCCGTTCGCCGACCCCCGCGCCCGCTAACCCCCTCGATCACCGCGGGTTAGCGCAGGGCCGCCTAGGCAGACCCCGCTAGACAAAGATAAGGCGCTAGTTTTCGCTCCCCCATAACGGCATTCAATGCAACCTGCGAGTGGCGTCCAATACAGCGTGAGAAAACGGCTCATTACTTAATCATTAATCGAGATTCGAGCAACCGTAACCCGGCCCTCGCAGAGAGAAGGTTCACGGAATCTGGAATTGCTGATACGGCACCAACTCGTCAGCAGGGAGGGCGAGGGGGGAGGGAGGGGGGCACCACGCGGCCTTGAGGAAGATTCAAATTTTACAGTGGGCTCTCTCTCGGTCGCCTTGTGCGTTCCGGTGGCCATTGAATATCACAAAAGCGCGGCGTCATAACGCGAGGTGAACCTTGAAAAGATTGCCAAAAGTCGAGTCAGATTGTTGGGGCCTGCAATCACGTCTCTCAATTCTGTGAGAGCCCAGTTCGGTCAAGATCTTGTTGACTGGACCGACCTGACACGCATTTTCCTTTCGCTCTATTTTCTCCTTCTTTTTTTAATTATATCAAAATTGAATCTCAACCGAACCGAGAAAAAAGTCAAATACGTCGAAAGTACTGTGAGCATGGATCTAACACAAACCTAATACCATTCGTACTAGATTCACATTTGTACGGTGTGAGGTCACTTGTTTCGAAACCAGGAGTTTAGAACAGGTAAACGATAAACGATCACAAGCTCTCTCTCTGTCTCTCTCTTCCGAAGGAAATTGAGGGTATCCAGGTGAGAAAAACCTTCCAAAGACTTCATCGTTTATTTTCTAAGTTTGCTCGAGAGACGTAGTACGGTATTCCGATTAGGAAGAGAAAAACACAAGGACTGAGAATGCACCGTCCGAAGACTTCGACATAAGGCCTGCCCTGTGAATCTTGTTGCTCGTTTCGTTGGAATCAAATGACAGACGGGTTCATGCAACTAAATCTGCGGTGAGAAAATAGTAAGTTTGTTCTATGCAACTGTTTCTTGAGATACTTGAGAGAGCCAAGGAATGAGTGAACTCACATGAATGCGTGAGGACTGAATCAAACAACCATGGATACTTCATCTGCCCTCTACTCCAGCCCAAAGGATTCCGCTCGCATCATTTTCTTTCATATGTCAACGGCTGGAAACTGAATATATTGCAGTGGGACGACTTATTTTTCAAGAGCTTTGTTTTCAATGGAAGGGAATCAAGTATTCATTTCTCCTCTTGAGAACAAGAATCCTCACGAATTTGTGGGGCGTGAACTAGTGAAGTAGGTGGATGGGCGATCCTGAAAAGCACGATTCTCTCTCGTCACGGACCAACTAACCGGGAACCTTCAGACATGAAAGTTTCAAGTCTCCCTAATCGACAGCACATGCCATATGGCACTTTTTTGGGTCCTGCCTCTTCCTCTTTCTTGAACGGGAGGCATATAAAAGCCCTACATGCACTGACACGGATGACCTCCTCGTTTCAAGAAAAATCTGACCGTATTTGGCACCTCTTCATGCATATGCAGTTTCATTGTGAACAACCGCAGCCTATATTCCTTACTTAGGCTCAGTATTTTGTCAACATAGTGGAAAGTAGTGCCATTAGATCTAGTTCAGTTGTCATATTGTCCAAATTTACAAGTTCCTCTATCGCTCCGACGAGACTACCTGCAATAAGGGAAACAACTTGGATAGAGTACTCCCTTCCACATGCATTGCCTTGTAGCGAGGTAACCTAAATTTCTGGCAAAATCTTCTCTTTCAACGTCGTCCCCTTTCTAAAGGACGTGAAATGAGTGCCACATTCAGAGCCTATTATATCAAATCATCTTCCAGATTCACGGAGGTAATCACATAGGCCATCAATTCAACAAGCAATTTTCCATTCCAGCTTGATCATTTCAAGTCCAACAAATTTCAAATGGAAGAGCAAGTGAGGGTACTGTTAAAAGAAAATACCTTCACGTGTATTCGTTGTTAAATTATGGATGTGATATGTATCACTATCACTATTAGGATTATCTCTTTCTCTACGTGTAGTTGTTTCTTTCCTTCTTACCATGATGGATTTCTCTCTATTAAGAAATGCAAAGGTGACTTACGTGATACAAATGTTTCAATCAATTAGTCATCTCATCTTGTCAATTCACTGTTCGATTCTGATTTAAAGACATCAGGCAGGGCCCTTCCACTTGCAACTCACGCGGTGAAACAAATGAAACTTCTCTTTCATGGCAAGTTGAGGTACATTTCATGCAGCCAGCACTTCATTGCATGCTTTCGCTTTGAAGTTTGATAACACTAAAAGCTTGTAAACAGGAGCGAGAATTTGGGATATTCTTACAATAGAAGACCATCACGAAGCCGTTTCAAGTACGTCCTTTGTTTTTAGATTAGGAGCAGTGTCCTAAATATACGAGTCTTCCTGGAGGGTTGTATGGTTCATGGGCTGAGGGTCAAAGGCAGAGATCCGAAACTCAAATGGAAAGCTGCAGAGGACAGTTAAAATACACAAATCCCAGGAATGGGCAGGTTGGTTCTTGCTCTCTGCTCCAGTCAGTGCGTTCTTTTCCACCTCCTAAGATTGACATCCTTGTCATCAAAATTCTGGGTCAAATTTTTTTAATTAAAAAAACCCTTTACAATTACCCTTTAATATTCAGATTTTTCTTATTCTCATAATTTTTACCATTGATGGAAAAAGATGCAAACAATGTGTAGTGGTGACCTTACATGCATTGGATGGGGACTCTAAAGTCTTGTCTTCAAGGCACACTTGTGTTCTTAACATTCTACTTTCACGATTACTCTTACAACAGGGTCAAAAGTTCAGTCTTATCATCTCTAACCGAAATTAGATGCGTAAAATATACTCAACAATTCGGGATTGTGCAAGAGGCAGAATTCACAGTACTTGGCAACAGGTGAGCCCAACTGGATTCTTGATACGTGGCTTCTTGAAGTGCCTCGTAAGCAACATTGTACCTTCACTTCCGAGGACCCAAAGCATGTACCCAAAGAAATCCTCATAGTATACAAAAAAGGAGGCAAGATCAAAATCATGTGTGCCATCTACACTTCTCTTCCCTTTTGGCCATGTGAAGATTACGCGTTTGACGTATTGTATAGATTTCCAATACCCACAAGATCACGGTAATTCTACTCTGGGCTGGTCCTCGAATCTGAGGGGGATGGTCAGGCGTTTCAGGATATGCACTTAGAGTTTTATGGTCCACATAAGAAGGTCGTATGGGGAGCACGTGTCACCGTACGGTCAAAACCGTACTGACTTATGATCACTCTCGCTACCGTCATCTGGCAAAAAATGAGAAATTCATATTGGAATGTTGTTCTAAAATGTTTCCTCCTTAGACATGAGGAGATTTATGGCGGCACTTTCTGTTGCAATACATCGGTCTCTGTTGTGAACCAAGTTCCAGACACCGGCGCCAAATTTAGAGATGATTTTAGAGGTGGCACAATAATGGGCCGAGTCTACGAGAGTCTGTTGCAGACGGAGTTAGTGGTCAGTAATTAAAGAATCTTGACAAATATATTTGCCTTTGACAAATTGCAATTCGAACTGCGTGATTGTATACTGAATCGCCCTAGTGTGTCGGCTGCACGACCTCATTGCAGGCTAGTAAGGCGGAAGATCTCGCTGTGTGTCCCAGAAGGTCATCAGAATCACTTGTGTCCTGTCGTTGCTATGCCCTCAACGTTATTTTGGTTCATAAGATTGTTGTGAGTTTCAGAGACTTCTGTGGGAAAGATGTATGAAAAAAGTCGGAGGTGATGAAGAGCACGATGGAGAGACGTACAGAAACTCAAGCATCTAAATCAAAACATTTCACTTCATTGGGACAGAACACGACACAAGACTTGTTGACCTTTGATGTTCAGTATCTGGCGGGCAGGAAATGGAGGAAATGGGTTCTGAAACTGCGAGAGAAGATACCAACAGTGCTCAGCAGTGCGTGCGAGAGTGTCTGTAAGGTTCTCCGAGTCCATTGTGTGACTTCGTATGAGGTGCACCCGGGCACAATTCCAAAAAAAGTCCTCTGGTTGAGGTGGAGTATCTGGAGGATGGGGACACGACATACCCGATAGGGACTACATTTAAGCCTTGCAACGGCCATAGTGCTCCGGGGCTGTTCCGAGTGAGAGGGTATCTCCCCATTTTTCTTTGGTCAAAGAGGACGGCGTGACAAGCAAAGAGATCCAACAGGATCTTGTAAGAGCATATCCTTCCCGAGATGCGCAGTTTGTGTTGCAACAAGGCAAGCACCACACAATCGTCTCATTCTGAGCAGGTATATTCACTCATTTGAAGGTCTAAGTTTCGAGTCATGCCAAACCGGAATCATGTTCTAACCCGATCGAAAGAATGATCCCCCATGAATGATGCTCACTACCTCCCGAATATTCAGCATCGAGCATCATCCATCGATTTTGACTCCATGCATGAGCAATGAACTCAAAGGCTAGAAAGCATCCCGATTACCACTGATAAGGTGGGTTGGCCGGTTGGCTGGCTGGCTGGCTGGCTGGCTGGTTGGTTGGTGTGCGCAGTGATCATCCTTGTCTCTCTCCGGGGCCTGGCTAGCTGGTACCGTGCTTCACTCAATATACTCTTGTGAGCCCCTAGAATTAAATTTTTTATATCTCCACCAGTCTAGGTCTGATCCGGTTTTATAATAATTTCCTCATAAAGATATATCTCGCATCTGACGAGGTCATTGTGCCTAGAATTTCCAGCATAAGACTGCAATAAACCACATATGGACGAAAGAATTTTTTAGTTTCCATTCTTGGCAAAGTGGTACAGATTAAATCCCCAGGCGACATTTTCTACAGTAGATCTCTTCCGGTCTGATTGCCCAAGAAGTCATGCAGTACTGTAGTTCGTTTGGGTATTGAGAAATATTTGACGGGCTCGATCAAGGTGCGATATATGTTATTATTGTTCTTGTGGTCGACTTCCCATATAGTCAAGCTTAGGATCTCCTACAAATTGTGAGTCCGCAAATTCTGTAATGAGCTCACGTACTGAAGATGAATGGTCACAAAGGTTATCTTTGTATGACCTCCTTGGCTTGACTACATGAGCAGTTACTGAAAGGTTTCATCAATTCATCATAATCATGTTTTGGTAATAAGACGAGGGCGAAGCGAGGTCGGTCGTCTCATGGAAGAAAGCGGCGAGAGGGCAGCCACAGAAGTGTCTTGGAGCCTCATGGAAGCTCCAAGAGACTACAAACTCGGCGGAGCACCCCTCCCATTCTCGGGGGAGCAACAAGCTCACTCCTCGCGCGATGGCTGACACCAGATGAAACATCTCGGCGGAAAGTCTACTTACCGTACATGTTGATCATTGTCTTGAATCTTTCATGTCACAAGTGGCCGATGTATGAAAACGCATGCTTCTTGTTGTGAGCTGTTCTCATGCAGACACTTGGATATGGGCACTAGCTGGTATTCGCAACCAAAGCTGGCCACCATCTTGAAGGAAAATCACCTGCTGTACCCTCCTCCTCGCTTTGGCCCATGCAGTGGGGCCACACGGGGTAGTAACATAGAATAATACTATTCACGTAGTACAATCGGAAGTGCATTATTTTCTTGGCAGGTGCATTTCATGTTGAAGGAATATCCATTTCAAAGGCAAAAGGTACACCTTCATGGGATTCGAGGTACTCGTATCTCTGCCTAGATTCATGCGTAGAATATCCTGCTCATCAGGAAAGCAAGGAAAAGGGCATGACATATATGACCTTTCAACAGCTCCATGAGCTAAGTTCGAGCTTCGTGGCAATGACCCCATCTACCTATGACGACATTCATGTGACATCGGCCCGCCGAGGCCCTTGACCCACCACCGCATTACTCGATTCTGTGAATGAAAGTCCGCGAGGAAATTCCCACACTGTCAGACCGAACTGGGTGGAACTGTGACTCAGAGTTCAAGGCACACACTGTGGGGTCGCCCCGGATGAAGCCTCGGGCGAAATTGGTTGCAACCTGGGCCGAGCGCAAAAGCTGAGAATCATGGATCTCCTTACGAGAAGCTTCAGTTCACCCGAGTCGCTACGTCGGATCTCCCCATCGTGGGTTGCCGCTTGCCGCTTGCCGCTTCCTGCTTCCTCGGATGAATAAACACAGCGCATCGTTCGGAGTCCGAAAATTGCGCTCCGGCATCGGCCGAATTCCGCAGGCCCGAGCCGAGACACAGAATTTCACAACAAGGCACGAGGGTGCATACACAGGGCGCAAGGTCGCGAGATCGCAACCTGGACCGGAGCGGCGAGGGCGTGGGAAATTCCTACGGCCACAGCGACGGCATAAAGAAATCGGGGCGACAGGGATAGATGATGGTCAAAAGGATCGTCGGATATACTGCCAGCCATTTGCCACGATCGAATTGACTTGAGTAAGAAGGACGGTATATTCGCTCACCCCCTGAGCATAGAATCTCCGAGGTCTGCGACCGTGACGTGGCCCGCGCTCGGATCTCTGTCCAACCGAAATTCACACGTGGCTTTGGAGCGCGGAGGTCGACAGCAGGTCTTTTATCCAAGTCAAACCCCGCCTGCCTGCCTGCGAGCACCATACTGTACGCTGCGCCACCCTTCGGCCCTGTACGAGGAACAGGCTCGCGCATCGTCGGTTAATTTCCATGGGGGCTAGCTACGTTCAATGAATCGGAACAAAAAGGACGACCTTCATGCCCCTAACTGGGAAACTCACTTCCGGAGTTTCTCTGATGATGCAGACTATGGGATATCCAGCTTTTGTGCCACATGGATCTCCCAAAAGCACCGTCCATGTAGGGCCCCCGGCCCGGCCCGGCCCCTTCTTCAAGGTGGGAAGTTCCCGACATCATCCATACGAATTCCCTGCAATCAGGGCTCATTTCTTAAACGCCACAGGCTTGCTAGAATCGCTTCTCTGACCTTTTTCGCACCCATGTGGAGACCTGACTCTTGCGCGACTTTTGCCATTGAAAACGATAACCACACCGGATTCCTTCCGCTCATCGTATCTCCCGTTGAGAGCCAGATACCGAACAGCAGGATGATGAAATCCTCTGCTGGTGAGATTCTTCAGCTCTGCCCACGAGTCTCTACATCCTTCACGGTATCGGGATTAAACAATTCATTCGATCACAGCTTCTCCCATCGTTTCAATGCATGCGCCATTTGGAAGACGGTCGTTCGATTGCCGAGAGTGGTCTCAGATGCTCTTCGTTCAGGGTCAATAAGCTCCATGAATCTCAGTCGCAGCGTCCTTTGGAGATTCACTAGAAGGCTTTCTTTAACTTTTAATATATTCCACTTCAATTTTTCGATTAAGTGAACGCTGCATCCTGGAGATACTCGTCGTCAACGAATATCCCCAGGCCACACAACCACCGGCATTTGTGAAAGATTGCACATAAAAAATTTTAAAAAAATGCGCCATCATTACAGCACACTTGTCAAAGGCTTCAAGCTGTACACTATCGCTAGCTTTTAGAAAAGTTGGTGTATGCTACTGTACAATGCATCAATTTGGGGATGTGTATATTTTAATCGCTTATCAAGATTTTCAATGTGGTTTCTGATTAGTCTTGCATCTTTCTTGCTTCGCATTACCCAAACTGTCGCATCCAACTTAGCGTGAGCTTCTCTAACTTCTTTCCAGATTTATATGAAGTTTGATTATTTTGAAAGTAAAAACTTGTCAAGGTCACATTTGGAGCTCAAATTCAAAATAAGTTTGAAAAAATATTTGCACAATTTCAAAATTTCACAGTCAATCATGAAAAGCTTTCACTTTGTATATTATCAATCACGCCGGTAGACCGTAGCAAATCACGTTGACTTTTACAAAACAAATCTTAAGTGAAAGAAGCGCTAGATTGACATCAATCATGGATACACAAATTGTTCAAAACTGAATGTATCAATCCTTGATCAAGAATTGATTATATTTCTGTTGCGTATTCTATGACCAAAATATAGTCAAATAAAAATAAAAGTCAACGCCTATAAATTTTGAACATGAAATTCAAACCATAGATCATGTAGTGCAGCTAAATTTATAACGGATTGAGATACATTCATCAATCGGTATTTTCCAACGTGTTTCATCTTATCAATTAGAAATAATAATAATGAAGATCATTTATAACACGAATAATTCAAAAAAACTTCATGGAAAAATTAATTTTGATCTTATACATACTTCTTTCAACATTTCACATATTTAAACATTGATTTTCATAATTTTTAGTATCATGTTTTAGAACTAATTTTCAAGTATGGTTTATTTTCAAGTAGAAGGTAAATATTATTTGAAATAAAATATTTAAATTAATTATAATTATATATAAATAATTCATAAAATAATATTTATATAGAGAGGCGAACCATTCCTAAAAGCACAAGATTTGGACAAAAATGTGAAAAAATTTGGAATCTATATTAACGTTTTAACTTGGATTGTCATCAAACATTCAAAATCACCTTCTTAAAGAGTAAGAAGGAAAATATAAATTCTAAAGCTAATTTGATTTTTTTTTAATTAGAAAATTATTTTACCAAAATAATTAAAAAATAACTATTTACTGAAATTAAAATGACACATGTAATGAAATTAAATGAAGTTTTTAGTTTCCATTTACTTTATATTTTCTGTTGAAAATATCCAGACTATATTTAATCATTTTCAATTTCATTTTCATTTAATTAGCAATTACTAATAAAATCATTGATTCGTGATCAAATTGAAATGATTTGTTTCTAAACTTGAAAGTAAAACACTATACCTATTGATAAAAGAGGATTAGCTACTTATTTCGTTTTGAATAATACAGAGATGAATATCAATGATATTTATTTATAATTGATAATGATTCATTTGTTGATAGATTATGAATTTATTTTCAGTCATTATATTCAAAAATGTATGAGATGTAAGACTGAAAGTTCCAACAAGAATAAAGATCAGATAGGTGTAAGATCAGAAATAAAAATCTCCTAAATGATGTTGAATCCTCTATAATAAATTAAACTGTAACAATTTGAATAACAGAATGGACATACATCTACGCGAAGAGACCAACATTTATTTTCCATAATAATATATTTGAAGCTTCAGATTTTATAAATTGAACCAAGATTTTTTTTTCCAATCTTGGTTCAACGAGATTTCAATTGTTTTCTAATTTCTAATTTTTCCCCCTAGTAGATATTAATTTCACAATGAAAATAATCACAGTAATTAATGCATATACGTAATTGCATTTCAAAGCAAATTTAAATATTTTATGTATTTCAGAAATTTAATTTTGTTTTTGACTTTCAACATTAATGTAAAGGGTTTTCATCATATCTAAATAACAAAAGTTCTTCATTTTGCTATAAATTTATACCAGATTAAGGTGGGTTTTATTTGAAGGATTTCTCAGGGAAACAAAATTCATGGAATTTGTTCATTCAAAAAAGTTGGGAAAATGTGAGATAGAATTGATCATATTTATAAAGGGATTTTTTAATATATATTATATCACTTTAAAATAGAACATGTGGTTCCTTTTCTAAAATTTGAAGGTTTATTGAATTGAAAATCTCATTCATACTTATGTTTCTGCATTAGAAAATTTTTTTGTCATCATAACAACAATGGGCTGCTGTATTGAAAGTGAATTTAAGTAAAATGAATAATTTAAATTGTAAATAATCTTGTTACTTATTAGGACACAGTTGTTAAAGAGTCGGTTATCCGTCATAACGTGTGTTTAATGTGATTATACATTATTTTTAATGTGTGATGAGTTGGATGGCATATGTCAAGGTTTGCAAGTTCATAAATAAGGAGAGAATTCATGGATGTATAAATCTTACTTTTGAATTGCGATGAGTTATATAGATTTCATAGTGAGGGCAAGAATAAATACTAAAGTA